AGACTTTCTCTTTACTTCGTATATTACGAGAAAGTAAAAAACAACATAAAAATTAAATAAAATCAGAAATATACAGACACATACACATTCTCATACACATGCACATGCAAGCTCTTGCGCTTAAATACTCTCTTTCTCTCTCTCTCTCTCTCTGTCGCTGTCTCTGTCTCTCTGTCTCTCTGTCTCTCTCTCTCTCTCTCTCTCTCTCTCTCTCTCTCTCACACACACACACACGCTTACACAATTGTTTCATTTTTTTTTCAACTTCCTAAATTGTTCAAGGGAGACAACCTTTCACTGAGTTTCCAAAATAGCTTTAAGAGAAAATAGTATTTAATAGTAGAACAACAGAAAATAACATTTGATGTTTGATTAAATATTATAATTACTGATTTGATTTTTGCTAAACTTTATAATTAAATAGTATCTTGGATTATTTTTGAGCTTTAGTTTCAATATGAAACCATTAGCTATATTTGCTACCTAATTATAATATTTGTTAACGTTCACTTTAAGCTGAGTTCCAGAAACTTTTCAAACTGTTGGTTACATATATAGAACGTTTCCGTTTATCAATCATCCTTGTTGCATGGCCTATACACACACAGCCCAGGGCTCGGCAACCTGCGGCTCCTCAGCTCCAGGCACAAATAGTAATATATTTTTTTAATTTTATTTTCAAAACTCATAAAAATATTGTTCTGCAACTCTTGGTAATGAACGATATAATATAAACAATAAGCACTCGTTATTCTATTAGAATATTTTGCTACTCCCATTACCTTGTCTATCGCAAATTGAAACATTCACCTTCATGTTGGATATCCTAAACGAGCTAAATATAAAACTGCAAAGAAATAAAAACCCAGCTTATGCCTTTCTGGAAGAAGTGGTTTGTTTAGAAAAAAAAATTACTTCATTTTGTCAAAGACACGGAGAGCGGTAAATTACTTCATTTCGAAAAATCTGAATAAAATATGGATTCACTGAGAGATTTGAGCAATTCAAAACAAATCCAAGTACTCTGACGTTCATATTAGATCCTCTCAACACAAAAACAAATGAGATTAACTTTGAGCTATTTGAAATTGATGCTAGTTCGCTTCAAATGAAACTGCTAGATTTGAAAACCAAACATTTGTGGAGTGGTAAGTTCACGGAAACCAAGAGCAAAATAGAAGAGTTGGAGAACCAGTAACACATTCACGTTTGGCTGCACATGTGGACAGCTCTTAAAGAAATGTTGCGAGTTGAAACACTATTATGTGACGGATGGAATAGTCTTGCAGGATGCTACAGTTAGGTAAAGAAGTTGGCATTTGGAGTGCTGACAATCTTCGGGTCAACATATTAATGCGAGCAAGCTTTTTTTTGCATAAATGTAATACAAAGTATAGAAGCTAACTAATAAAAATCTAGAGGCGTGCTTGAAACTGAACACAAACTATGAGCCAGGTTTAAACAAATTTTCAAAAGGCCAAACTATTGTAAATAGTATTCAATAATTAAAGCTATACGTCTCGAGTTCAAATCCGGGTTCAAGTCAGTAGACCGTCCCTGAGTCCACCCAACTCTGATGGGTACCTAACTCACGTTATGGAAAGTAAAGGCGGCTGAGCATAGTGCTGACCACACTATCTCTTCGTATGCCGAGGTCACAGAAAACAAGTGAATTCTACTTCACTTGCCCTATAGACCATCAGGTTTGAAAAGTGAACTTTTTTACTTTCTCGTATATACGAAGTATAGAGAAAGTCTTGTAATCGTGCAAAAAAAAAAAAACCTCACTGATACGGAAAAACATAATTTTGCAATCTTGTCCGTATGTCTGTGTGTCTGTCTGTCTGTCTGTCTGTCTGTCTGTATGAAATTTCATATATAAGTACTGAGTCCACCCAACTCTGATGGGTACCTAACTCACGTTATGGAAAGTAAAGGCGGCTGAGCATAGTGCTGACCACACTATCTCTTCGTATGCCGAGGTCACAGAAAACAAGTGAACTCTACTTCACTTGCCCTATAGACCATCAGGTTTGAAAAGTGAACTTTTTTACTTTCTCGTATATACGAAGTATAGAGAAAGTCTTGTAATCGTGCAAAAAAAAAAAAACCTCACTGATACGGAAAAACATAATTTTGCAATCTTGTCCGTATGTCTGTGTGTCTGTCTGTCTGTCTGTCTGTATGAAATTTCATATATAAGTATTTTATCAAAATCGTTGATCCGTATCAACTTTTGAGCGATTTCCGATAACCGGAAGTGGTACTTTTCCTACTTTGAATTTTTCAAAAGCCTATAACTTGAGTACTATTTCAGATAGATAAATGAAATTTCACATGTAAGTAAAAGATCTATTTCTCTACTGTCACAGGCCTTTCTCCTACCTTTTATATTACATATACAGAATCAAAAGACAAGCCTTCTTTTGCAGTTTTTCATATTTATTTTGTTTTCACACAGGCAGCGTGTTCAGCCAAGCTACGCCATCTTCTTGTCTCCTTTTTCACTTGTTCTTTTCGCGCATGCGCACAGCCACTGTCTCCCTGATGCAATCTCGCCCCTCTCAACAAAACACACTCCCAAGATACAATCCACCAACATTTCACTGTTATATCTACCTTCTGTTAAATTTTGAGTAATTTCCGTTGACCGGAAGTAGTAATTTACGCTACTTCCGATTTCTCAAAAAACTATTGTAAATTTTAAAAGTACTAATAATATTGCGCACTATTATGCGCTTTTTTATTTGGCGTTCACTTGGTGTGCAATTAATTTGTCTACAAGATTTTATTCTATTTTTAAAACTTTAAGTATTTAAAATGGATTAAAAATCATGTCTAAAGCCCGAGTTCCCATTCCCTGTTATTTTATATATGAATATTCGAGAACGTTTAGGGGAGATCACTCCCGGTTTATTTTTTATTATTCTAGCAGAGCTAGATAAAATACTTTAACATTTCTAAGCTGCATAACTCAATACTACTCTGCTTGATTTCGCTACTGTTATAAAATGAGTTGTCTTCCTTCAGTATTTCAGTAGGCCTACACTACTTTATCAATGAAAAAAATGCTAAAACACCAAGCTAGGTTGGACGTTAAAATTTTTGTTTATGATTTTTGTATTCCTTTAGTTGTAGTAGGAGAACGACGTGTCATAACTACATTTTGAAAACAACTGGATGGGGAAAGACTGGCTAATCAGCTTAATTGTAATTACACCTATTGTCTTTGGTTTTGAAAATTAGATTACACGAGTCTTTACCTTTACAATTTAAAGTCAAATTTTAGAAATAACAATGTTTTCTTACTAAACTTGCCATTTTAATATCGCAAATACATTACATAACTAACTAACTAATCCATCCCCATCCAATCCAATCCATCCCCATCCAATCCAATCCATCCCATCCAATCCGATCCGATCCAATCCAATCCAATCCAATCCATCCCATCCCCATCCAATCCAATCCAATCCCCATCCCCATCCAATCCGATCTAATCCCCATCCAATCCAATCCCCATCCCCATCCAATCCGATCTAATCCCCATCCAATCCATCCCCATCCAATCCAATCCAATCCATCCCCATCCCGATCCCGATCCCCATCCTCATCCAATCCATCCCCATCCCCATCGCAATCCCCATCCAATCCATCACAATCCCCATCCACATCCCCATCCCCATCCCGATCCCGATCCCCATCCAATCCATCCCCATCCCCATCCCCATCGCAATCCCCATCCAATCCATCCCCATCCCCATCCCCATCGCAATCCCCATCCAATCCATCCCCATCCCCAATCCATCCCCATCCCCAATCCATCCCCAATCCCCATCCCCAATCCATCCCCATCCCCAATCCATCCCCGTCCCCAATCCATCCCCGTCCCCAATCCATCCCCGTCCCCAATCCATCCCCGTCCCCCAATCCATCCCCGTCCCCCAATCCATCCCCGTCCCCCAATCCATCCCCGTCCCCCAATCCATCCCCGTCCCCCAATCCATCCCCGTCCCCCAATCCATCCCCGTCCCCCAATCCATCCCCGTCCCCCAATCCATCCCCGTCCCCCAATCCATCCCCGTCCCCCAATCCATCCCCGTCCCCCAATCCATCCCCGTCCCCCAATCCATCCCCGTCCCCCAATCCATCCCCGTCCCCCAATCCATCCCCGTCCCCCAATCCATCCCCGTCCCCCAATCCATCCCCGTCCCCCAATCCATCCCCGTCCCCCAATCCATCCCCGTCCCCCAATCCATCCCCGTCCCCCAATCCATCCCCGTCCCCCAATCCATCCCCGTCCCCCAATCCATCCCCGTCCCCCAATCCATCCCCGTCCCCCAATCCATCCCCGTCCCCCAATCCATCCCCGTCCCCCAATCCATCCCCGTCCCCCAATCCATCCCCGTCCCCCAATCCATCCCCGTCCCCCAATCCATCCCCGTCCCCCAATCCATCCCCGTCCCCCAATCCATCCCCGTCCCCCAATCCATCCCCGTCCCCCAATCCATCCCCGTCCCCCAATCCATCCCCGTCCCCCAATCCATCCCCGTCCCCCAATCCATCCCCGTCCCCCAATCCATCCCCGTCCCCCAATCCATCCCCGTCCCCCAATCCATCCCCGTCCCCCAATCCATCCCCGTCCCCCAATCCATCCCCGTCCCCCAATCCATCCCCGTCCCCCAATCCATCCCCGTCCCCCAATCCATCCCCGTCCCCCAATCCATCCCCGTCCCCCAATCCATCCCCGTCCCCCAATCCATCCCCGTCCCCCAATCCATCCCCGTCCCCCAATCCATCCCCGTCCCCCAATCCATCCCCGTCCCCCAATCCATCCCCGTCCCCAATCCATCCCCGTCCCCAATCCATCCCCGTCCCCAATCCATCCCCGTCCCCAATCCATCCCCATCCCCAATCCATCCCCATCCCCAATCCATCCCCATCCCATCCCATTCCCCAATCCATCCCCATCCCTAATCCATCCCCATCCCCATCTTTACCCTTTCCCATCGTTATCCACATCCCCATCCAAGTCATCCCCATCCTCATCCAATCTATTCCCATCCCCATCTAATCCATCCAGATCCAATCCATCCTCATCCCCATCCCCAGCCATCCTTATCCAACTCTCTCTATCGATGCCTATCCACCCAACTATCCATCCCCATCCAACAGTCCCTCCCTCCTATATATTTCTCTAAATATTGTAATCCTTATTTACATATTCACTTTTTAATTCATTCCCCCAAATATTTTGTTCTCTTTATATTTTTCAATGTTCAATTAACATTCTCTACCAATTTAAATGCTTATTGCATCCATAGTGCCGAGGATTTGAACCCAGCCATACAGGGCATGTAAGAGTGAGAGAGTTAACTGAATAACTGACACCTAGTCCTCTCTGCCATCCCGTTCCATACTAATTTACAAAAATTTGTTATTATAAGTGAACTGTTCTTACATGCTTACATTTTGCCAGTTCGGGCAGCAGATACCAATATTATTGAACAATAAAAAAAATATTAATTATGTCATTTTAATTGACAAATCCACCTGAAATGGTACATACATAATTTTATAAATAGTTTTGGTACATTATGTTATGGTTAATCCCTTCCTTTTGAATTGGAAAAATAATTCTTAAATAATTTGGCCTGATGTAAACAACGCTTCCCTTCTCAGACCAATTTGAGTGCAGGAAACATTGTGTAACGTCCTAGACACCTCGAGACAGTGGCGTAGGCAGGGGGGGGTTAGGGGGGGTCATAACCCCCCCCCCCCATAGACCCCTCGGTATATATATAAAGTATGAGGGGGGGTGCAAATCGAAAGTTTGAGGGGGGGGGTGCAAATCGAAAGTTTGAGGGGGGGGGGTGCAAATCGAAAGTTTGAGGGGGGGTGCAAATCAAAAGTTTGAGGGGGGGGGGGGTGCAAATCGAAAGTTTGTCCCCGGGTAAAAATTGGAACCCCCCCCCCCCCCCCTTGAGACGATCCTGGCTACGCCACTGCCTCGAGACGTGGGAAAGGATATAAGTGTACAGTTAACTTAACCATCTCATATCATCAATCGTTTTAGGGTAAGTTTTCTGACAAGTTTTCAAAAGTGTTTTTGTTACTTGGTTGTCATTACACGCATTCCTTAATTTTGGTCTACCACCTTGTAATGTAGATGTATGAGCCTGGACATTTTGTATTTTACAACCAACCATCTATGTCTGCCCTATACTTCTTCATCTCATATAATTTTTTCCTTGAATGCCCTTAATATGAAAAAAAAAAAGAATTAGCAGTGGCGTCGCCAGTTCAGTGCGCGGCACTTCGTGGTGTTACCCCCCCCCCCCTAAGAAACTATATATATATTCTAAAGCAGGCGCTTCAAATTTGGTCTGCTAAAACGATGGCTAAAAGATGACGACTGGTCTCTTTAGGAAGTTTTCCCAGATATGATATGGCGAGAATTTCACTCGTGGTCATCTTTTTGCCCTTTTCGAGGGCTTTGAGTCAAACCGACAAGTCCCCACACGGCCTAGCCATTTACACATGCATGCAAAAAATGAGCCAGATGTACAGACGGTGAGTGTCCAAAACTCTTTGTTGAAATTACCCTCTGCTTTTCCCATAAAATACAAAGATTATATAGGGAAATACGACTGGTCAGTTTTGACGACTTTAGGAAGTTTTCCCAGATATGCCGAGTTGTTTGTGACACCCCCAGGCGTTCTTCTATCACCCAACAAAATATCAAGGGTAGGTGGGGGATCGTTCGGCAATTTTTTTTCGTAATATAGCCCACACAAGGCGCCGGTCAGTCGAGGTCAGTTTTGACCCCTTCTCCGTGGACTTTGCGGTCGGTAAGCCGGCACCGGCCCTCGTGTTCTATTGCCCCAAGGCAGGATCCTGCCAAATTTAAAGTGCCTGCAGCGCCAGGAAGTGCTGAATCGCGCACCCGAGCACTTTGCTTTGTATATGTATAGATATATTATATATACGCACGCACACTCATATATATATATATATATATATATATATATATATACCTGCACATTCCCGTTCCCGAATAAAGATGTCTTTTGTTACGTCTACTGTCTTTGATTAAAAATAATAATTAGTAAACAGTACGCTCAGTGTATACAATAAATAACACGCAATATTTAAAATACCTATCACATTGCATTCCAATCCACGCTAATTATGTAATTATTTTTTTCCCAACACCGAAACAAAGTAATAAAAAGTAAAAAATTATATTTTTCCAAAGATGTAATGGGTTTTTGATAAAGGGAAGTAATTGGGTTTTCCTAATTTATCAAGGGACGTAACGAGTGCTAAAGAACTAAATTTTAACACAATGCGAATTTTAAAAATGTAAAATTTGAATAATGCATGCACTGACAGGCTATCACAGTCTACTAATAGAAATATTACTTTTAATTATAACTCATGTTAAATAATGTGTTTTGACTTAATTCGTATTTAAATAAACGTTTATAAAGTTATTTTGTCTTTTTCTAAAGGTTTCAAGCAATCCCTGCTGTGATTCATAATTTTGTTAAATGTAGGTTATTTCACAAGCGTAGGAAACTTAGCAAATAAATCTAAAAAATATTGTCCCATAATTGTGTGTGATAAAAACAGCTTGTGTGTATATGCGTGTGTCTGTGCGTGTGTGCGTGTGATTTGAATCGAATTGAAGTTTATGGTAGTCGATTACACTTGAAGGTTTTTTTAAACGAGATGTTAAAATCGAAATATTGAGAAGCTACTCCTTTTAGGCTAGCTCTTTGTTGAGACTTACTTTCATGCCACTAAATCTACACAATTCAAGTCGTTTATTCATATCATCTTAACTCACAAATCAACGTAACGTCTCCCGCTTTTAAACCCGCATTCGACCTTGGGATAACAATACATAAACACCCCGGGGTTAACTCACACACGCCTCTCCCCTACGTTCGAGACTATTCTTCCTATTCTAATCTAACCTAGAAATGACCCGTAACAGCTCTCCCATAATCTCTCCCCCCCCCACCCACATTGGACAGTTCGAAATTATCTGTCAATCTATTGGCTTGCGGGCAATAATCCATAAATAAATCATACTAATGAAAACCGAGTATAAATTATTGACCAGATAGTGAAATAACAGCGTTTGTAAACAAAGCAAAAGTTATTTTTAAAAACAACAAATATACTTATGAAATAGCCTACATTCAATTTATATCTAAGTACTTCCGGTTTTAGAATGTACACAAACAGTGCGTTGTCCACGACACTGCTTTTGTGTATTTCCACTTCCGTATTCCTTTCCGCGCTCTCTCTTTCTTTCTCACCCACTTTCTCTTATTCTCCCCGCTTCTCTTGCATAAATACAGCCCCCCGCTATTGCTCTTTACAATAATATTCAGCTAAAGAAAAGGATTAAAAAAAACTTCCAAGAAAACTCGCTAACCATCTCATTAATAAACAACAACTTTTGTTTGAAGAAAAAAATGTTTTTTTTTCACCAGTTTTACGGTAAACAAATAACAAAACAAAACAAAAACCGTAGAAAAAAGCTTGATGGTGCGCCTTTAAAGGTTGTATTATGCCAGCTATGGAAATAATTATTTCTTAGAACCCCGAGTTCTTTTGGTTCCATACAATTCCAGAAATTAATTTTATTCAATTATGTCTGAAACGATTTAAAATATAAAGCGAAGAAAAGGCCCCGAGATCTTGGAATTAAATTTAGAAAGTGGACAAGGGAGATAATGAATCTTTGAATGTTTTGTTTATTTTATGAAGTCCCATGTTACACTCTCAAAGTAAATCCTGAAAGGTTGGATTAAATTAGATGAAAATAAGATTAAGAAACCTTTTAAGTTTAGATAAATATAGAAAGAGGTTGTTTGTCAACTATAGATATTCGTCATTTGTATTCTTTTTTGCTTGTATGGTGTATGGTGTGTGATGTGTGATTTGTTGTGTGTGGTGTCTGGTGTGTGGTGTGTTGCGTGTGGTGTGGTGTACGGTGTATTGTGTATAGTGTATGGTGCATGAAGTATTGTGAATGGTGTGTGGATTTTTGGTGTGTGGTGTGTAGTGTGTAGTGTGTGGTGTGTGTTGTGTGTTGTGTGTTGTGTGGTGTATGGTGTGTGGTGTGTGGTGTACGGTGTGTGGTGTACGATCCGTTGACATATGATGTATGGTGTGTGGTGTATGATACATGATGTATGATGTGTGATTCGATAACGTATGATGTATGGTGTGTGGTATATGGTGTAAAGTGTTCGCCGCTTTATCTTATTAAAGCCACTACTATCACTGAAGTGTACAGGCATTGGTTCAAAAAAAAAGAAATAGATGTATAAAAACAGCGTCAAGGAAAAACCTTGATGGTAATCTCCGCTGCTAAAACTGGATTGGTTAATAGGCAAGGGAGGCGAATCAATACTTACAAAACAGTAAAAGCGTGATTAAAATAACAGATGTACTATTTTTGATACCAATTAGCGTTGCTAAATAGAAAATAACTTTGCCATAAGTGTGTGTTTACTCATACGTTTCGTAACCAATTGAGATTGTAAAGTTGAATATACATTACAGCGACATAAACAGAGATCCGCCACAAAAATAAAGAAAACATTGCGAAACAGTACTTTTTACAAAGGATTCGGTTCATGTGTCTCCCCCACCCCTCATACTAGCGCTGATCCCTAAGAAATCTCAATCAAGAGCCCTACCAAATGTCGATCATGGGACCTCTCACTCCAAAAAGTTCCCTAAAATGGCATTCATGAGATCCCAATCTTCAAAAACATCACTGAAATCCCAATCACACGACCCCTCTTTCCAAAAGGATCCCTTAAATCTCAATCTTGGGACCCCTCCTCTACAAAAGGATTCTCCAAAAATCTCAGTCATGGGACTCCAATTTCCAGAATGGGCCTTAAAATCTCAAACATGGGATTCCTCTCTCAAAAATGATCCATATAATCTCAATCATGGAACCCCTCTCTCCAAAATGATCCTTAAAGTCTCACTCCTGGGACCCCTCTCTCCATAAGGATCCTTAAGAAATCTCAACCATAACCCCTAATCTCCAAAGGGATCCCTAAAATCCCAATCATGGGACCA